CGGAGAAAGACCTCCCACTGAGGTATGACCTGAACCAGTCTAAAGCAGTCCCCCTGACACCCACACTGTCTCGGAGTCGGTCTAAAATAATTGTGTTAATAATGTATTATTAGCAGTATGTGTGGAAAATGTCCTTTTTCGTCAATGGTGACCACTTTTCTTTCTATATGGCTTTCATTTTTGGACATCATTTGTAGGTGCAGCCAGGGTCCAGAGGGAGTCCGGTTTGGGGATCACAGGATTTCCTCTCTGCCGTTTCCAAATGATGTCCTGTTGCACTGGGGCTGTCTGCAGCCGAGTGTGAAGCGGCTGGGATCAGGTTCGGCATCTCCAAATCCAAGGCCATGGAGCTCGACCTTGCCCTCTCCAGGTGGAAGCAGAGACCTTCCCTTAAGTGGAGGAGTTCAAAGCCTCTTGGGGTCTTGTTCAGGAGTGAGGGAAGGATGGAGCGTGAGATTGACAGATGGACCGGTGCAGCGTGTGCAGTGATGCGGTCGCTGTATCGGACTTGCCGACGACAATTTTAAGTTTGAAGTTTGACTTATTAAGGACAATGTGCAGTTGCATTAAAAAGATGGATGCACCAGATTTAGCACCAGCTACTTTCCACCTTGACAATACAATCATATAACTTTCACGATAATATACAGTTCAAATTAAAAGTGCAATTTACTAAAATACATATTAGCGTACAGTTCAAACACATTGACAATGACAATTTTCAAACGGCTATCAGATGTACCCACAATTCATCCTCTATCCTTCTTTGTCTTGTTCAGTGTCCAGGGTCCATTTCCAGGCTTTGATTCTCAGCTTGGATAGAACGGAGCTGGACTATTTTGACTTATTGTACATGTTTTTAGTGGAAACCAGAGCACCGAGAAGAAACTGAAACAGTCATGAGGAGCTGGGAAGAAAGACTGCAAATTCAAATCAGTTCAACTTCTTTTTGTAAAGCCCTAAAACACCACAGTAGTTATCCTCAAGGACTTTACAAAGTTGTCAATTTGCTAACACAGAGAGTTCAGACACAAGAAATGCAATTATAGAAAGTCATTGGTCCAAAAGAGGCGAATGACCAACGCCAATAAATGCTAGTGAACGTCCAATGCTAGCTGCTGTTGGCAAAAAGACAACTTTGTAAAGCCCTTCAAGGAAACCGCTGTTTAGATTTAAAGCTACACAAAGCAAACTAAACAAAATTGAATTGAGGAAATCATTGCAGACCGCTGAGAGAACACAAACATGAATTTAAACCACATCATTTAATAACTTTCCGTGCAAACAACCTCCAGTATTCATTAAATACAGTAAACGAAATGTTTTGTGTCCGAGCCTTGTGCACATTCCACGGCTGCTCCTTGCATGATCCTTTTGCTTCTGCGTCTCTTTGAACAATTTCCCGGGACACGGCGAGTACAGTGCTGTGACATTGGCCGCCGTTCATGGTCATTTTTGTCCTACAGTCCGGGGAGAGTTGAATCGAATCATCTCGTTGTGTTGTGCCTGCTGATCAGCACCACGTTGCCGTCTCTCTGTCTGTTATCTACTCCGGGAAAGAATGAGGCCTCACTCCCACACATGCTGAGAGCTCCGGTTCGGATGACCTTATTATACAATGATACAAATGAAAATCCGGGACCGTGACCTTCAGAGCAAGTAAACGCTACGGCGAGAAAACAGAATTAAGGCACATATTGATTTGGTGAAAAAAGATTTGGATGATAAATGTACTTTGGTAAGTGGGACATTGGAAAACAACAACAACTAGAATTTGTGTCAGTACTAAATAAAAAAAGAAAGAAGAAAATGTAATAATGTACATGGTGATAATAATAATAATGCATTGGCTTTATAAAGCGCTTTTCAGGACATTCAAAGACAGTTCACATAGATGGATAGATAGATACTTTATTGATCCCCGTCAGAGAAATGCAGGTGTCCAGTAGCAGCAAAAATAATAAATAAAATTGATCATTAAAAAAAGCTAACAATAGTAATAATCAGCAACAGCCCTTCAGGTCACAGCAGCAGAGGTGGAGTGGCCTCTGGGTGGGAGCAGGACGGGTCACAAGGTCGAGTAGGCGCTTGGTTCGGACCATTTTCTCTGCTCTAGTCCAAAGTAAAATGCTGAATGGATTTGGAACAGTCTTCCTGAGAATGTGAGACGGGAAACTTCTGCTGCAGTTTTTAAGTCTAGGTTAAAAACGGTTCTGTCTAGCTGTGCATACAAATGAATTATTTTATTTTTAGGTGCACATAACTATTTATGATTTTAATCCCATGTATGATCTTAATGTTTTAATGTTTTTGTGATTTTATTTTTTTATGTTTTTAAATTTCTGTGTGATCTCATTGTGTGTTTTAACGCCCTTTGGGATTGTAATTGTAGTTATAATTCATGTTTATGTGGATTTTGGATTTTAATCTCTACGATTTATGCCTGGTGTGATATGGGTTGTGAGGCGCTTTGTGTTGCCTTGAGTAGGAAATGCGCTCTACGAATAAAAGTTGATTGATTAGCATTTTTCAAAAAGTTAGCATTACTCATGTCAGTATTCTTAAACTACTAAAACTACTCTTGTAGCCACAGCTGCATTGGGGCACACTGACAGAAGCGAGGCAACTGTCTGTGGCCAGTCCTGTAGCCAGTCCTGCTCCACCCATCAGCTACACTTACAGTCTATGGGCTAAAGCACTGTATATCTAGCACTTTATATCTATCTTATTATGGAGAATGATGCCAAGTGTTAAAAGTATGTTAAAGAACAAAGTCGTAAAAATGGCCTTGGAATGTGAACATGGGCCCATGAGATTCGGAAACTATTAGCAGGACTATCCTAGTGAAATAAATTAATACTATGCCGCAGTGTCTTGAATGATCATGTTACAATATTAGAAAAAAGATGCTAAAATCTCATAATATTTGAGATTTCGATAAACGTGTATATCTGAAACATTCAACAGTGACAATGTGTTGTCAAATTGTTGACAATTTGTACGCAGTATTTCAGCACCATGGACAGTTCCCTACATAGCTCTGCTCTTATCTACTATATGTTCTATATACCACAATTAAGACACACAAATTAGAGTATTTGTGTATCATTTTGTAGAGTGTATACAGCGGCAGTTCGAACGCAAGAAATGCACTAAAAACGAACACATAGGAGGCATTGGTCCATAGGGAGCGGGATGTCCAGTGTCCATGAATGTTGATAAATGTCCATTCCTGTCACGGATTATCACTGTCCTTAGATCTTCTCACACCTGCAAGGAACAAAACAGTGAGAACAAAAGTAAGAATCCCAGTTTCCCAGTGGACGCCCCCATTGAGGGATGGATTGACAGGCTGAAAATCCAAGACACAGGCTGAATACCTCTGTATTTCTGGGCCAGCCGACCAGTTCATATCATATTTACTAGTTGCCCCCATATAAAATACAAAAAAGACTCTTATTAGCTATATATAAATTAATGAATGAATTGAATTGGCTGAATTGTCATGCAGCCAGTCAGTGATATAGTCTTTCTTAACTCTTTAATTTTCACTCTTTGAAGAAAGCTATGTATAGTTTTTCTTCGAAGATGCAAGAAAACTGATAAATGTCAACCGTAAATGTGCACTTTTTTGTCCCCGTAGGGAAATTTTTCCTCTGCACTAGACCCATCCTGATGCCACATTGGATCTTAGGTCACATGTCACTAGAAAATGTTTATACATATTAAGAATTTTAGTGCTAAATAATGCCTCACCGAAGTATAAGTAAAAGTGAAGTATATAAGTCATGACATGTACCACAAAACTTAACACTAAAATAAAATCTGTAACTTTAGACTAATAGTATATTTTATTTAAAGGCAGGGTAGGTATTTCACATAACAAGTCACGTGCATGGTCAATGTATATGGTGGAAAATGACCCAGGAGCGTTTCTGACCAATAACATGAGCACGGAAACGTTTTTAGTGATGTTTACCACATGGGAAACTCAAGACCGTTATCTGTGTACTTTTATGAGTAAATGTAAAGCCTGTCAAATGTGAACAAGACAACATGGTCCTTACTTGATCATGAATCCCCAATGCATCATGAATAATAAAATGTGCTGAATTTTAACACCCACAGAACTCTGAGGTCGCTCACGTTTGGGCACCTCTGTTTTACACACATGTGTTCATGTGATGCCCATAAAATAATCTCAAAGCATTTAGGAGGGTTTTAATTTTATTTATTTATTTAAAAATATTCTCCACATAAAAAAATCTGTTATTCTTTGCGGTGAAGGAAATTATGCCAAATTGAAATATTCTGGATGGACAAATATTGTGTTCATGTGGCGTCAGTAAAATAAACTCCATGCATTTAGGAGGGTTTGCTCAGTGTCAGGGACCATGTGGGCTTTTTGAATTAACTTCTTTATCATCATGAGGCCTGCTTCGTTACGGCTGCCTCTTGGATCTCTGACAGTAAGACTTCCAGTTGGCTGTCTTCTGGTATGAGTAGTTCCTCAACCGTCTCTTCTGGTCTGAGTGGCATTTAGGGAAGGTTTTAATTTTTATGTTTATTCTTCATATCAAAAAATCTGTTATATTCTTTGCGGTGAAGGAAAATAAGCGGAATTCAAACATTGTGGATGGACAGATATTCAGTTCAGTGTAAGACCACTGCACCACATATCTCGTCCGAGTGAAGACCTGTTTAAATCCTTTTTGAATGCAGTTCAGAGACTTAGATCAGGCAGGTCAAACTCAGGCCCAGTATTGCTGCACTGATGGTAAGGGGCTATTCATTTTAAAGCCTATTGTCCAAAGCCATATTATTGTATCGGTTCTGAGATGTTAACTTAAATGTAATTCGAAGTTATAAATACTTGGTTGAATCTAAACTTACTTGAAAATAACATCCAAACTCCATCCAAAGAAAAAAAAAAAAAAGAAAAAAACCACACCTACCAACCAGTCTTAGATAATGTCATATCTAAGTTCTACTGGTTGTGTTTAGTAGATGGGAGATGACAAATAGGTGCTCAGAGGTCCTGAGCTGATCCGGTTTCTTCTGAAGACCTTCCAAACCCTTGCAAAGAAGCACGTTGGCCTAGTCTGAGGACCATGGGCCAAATAATACCTGAGTTGGAGGTTCAGGTTCAGTTTCATAGTTTCCTCAGTGAAACTATTGTCGCTTAGAGCAGACACCGAGCCACACTCCTGCAGTAAGCTTTTGGCGGCCGCTTTCCCGATGGCTTTGAGGTCTTTGTCTGTGAGCTGACTGTCCTCTGGGATCCGAACCCCAGTCTCCACTTTTCTAAGCATTTGGACAAGACGGATCTGCTGCTCAGTGTCAAGGACCATGTGGGCTTTTTGAATTAACTTCTTTATCATCGCTGCAGCCACGAGATGAGCAGATCTGGTGCCTTTTGCGATGGACTGTGTTTCTTCCTCCAGAGAAATATCCACAGTCTCTTCAGCGGAGGCTTGCTTCGTTACGGCTGCCTCTTGGATCTCTGCCGGTAAGACTTCCAGTTGGCTGTCTTCTGGTATGAGTAGTTCCTCTACCGTCTCTTCTGGTCTGAGTTCTTCTACCGTCTCTTCTGGTCTGAGTTCCTCTGTCGTCTCTTCTGGTATGGGTGCCTCTACCATCTCTTCTGGTGTGAGTGCCTCTACAGTCTCTTCTGGTCTGAGTTCTTCTACCGTCTCTTCTGGTCTGAGTTCCTCTGCCGTCCCTTCTGGTCTGAGTTCTTCTACCGTCTCTTCTGGTCTGAGTTCCTCTGCCGTCTCTTCTGGTATGGGTGCCTCGACCGTCTCTTCTGGTCTGAGTTCCTCTGCCGTCCCTTCTGGTATGGGTGCCTCTACCATCTCTTCTGGTGTGAGTTGCTCTACCGTCTCTTCTGGTATGAGTTCTTCTACTTTCTCTTCTGGTATAAGTTCCTCTACCGTCTCTTCTGGTATGAGTTCTTCCACCGTCTCTTCTGGTATAAGTGGCTCTGACTTCTCTTCTGGTCTGAGTTCCTCTACCGTGTCTTCTGTAGCTGTGAGACGTTGCAGAGCCTTTACAGCCTTTTGGTGCTGTCGCAGCTGTTTTGCTTGCTCTTCATAGACTTTCTGTTGGAAAATCTGGCTCTCATACGGCTGCATCGGTGGATTCTGCATCTGGAGCTGATCTTTGAATCCCATCATCTCCAACATTCTCTCTGCCGCCATGACCTTGGCCTCTTTCTTGTTGGGGGCGAAAGCTTGACAAGACAAGTTCCCAGCTGTCACCTCCATACAATACACAACCGTATAATCTGCGTCGTGGGTATGTTCAAGGTTGACAACCTTAAAACTCGCCGCGGGTTGTTTCCTGATCATGAGAACTTCTGTGAGCGCCGTGATTGGGTTTTTATTGTGGAAGAAGTACTTGCGCTCTTCAGGGTCCATAAGGTCCGCGTGGGGTTTGCACCAATATGGAGTTTTTCCCTGAGGCGGTGGGAGCTTGGACAACGCCTTCACGACCTCTTTAGCTGCGTGTAACCGCGCCTTTTTCTTGGTGGGGCCGGAACCGAAGCCGACCAAGTCTCCCACTCGCACTTCTATCTGGAACGTGGGCTTATGTGCTGGACCCTCCTCTCCCATTTCATTAAAAAGTACAAGTTTCCCATGGAGTTCTGCCAGTTCATGCAGAATCTCCAGGTCAGTCTTGTGGACTTCAATGGGCTTTTCCATGTTACTTGGATTTGTAAGTCGCTGAGTTGATCTCTGCAATAATACCTTTGCAAAAAGGACTCCGTTTTCTGTTATTGGACTTGAGACAAACCCTAGCACATGTAAAATGGACGAATTCTAAGATGATGTAATAGAATTCCATTTCCATAGGAACCATGGTAACCTAGTAACACTTTGTAGAATTGTAGAATTTGTTTGAATTCTAGAATGTGGTATCTATAGAAACAGAAATGCATTCGTAAAAATATAATTATAAATACATATATAAATCCTAATTATACAACACTTGGTGAAACTATGACAAACACTGTTGCTTGTGACAGAGATGCCCCAAAAGAGGTCGGTTTCACGTCCAAGCTTCAAGTCGATAGTGACTCAACGTTTGATCCACCGAATGGTTGAGGAGCCCATTAAAGGGTTAACAGATCAATATTATACACAAAAGCACTCATGACAGTTTTTTATATTATTAAAAATGTCAGAACATTAACCTTGACTGTTTTTAGTTGAAACAAAAATAATAAATAAAATAAAACAGGTGCAATCTTGGCCCGTAATGGTTTTCAAATGTGTGTTAAATTCAGTGGAAGCACATTGCTTACTTCCTTGTTACCACTTTAGACACATTTATGATGATGTTGTGTGTGTGTGTGTGTTGTGGTGCGTGATCCAATGGCTGCGTCTCACATTGGAGTGGTTTGTGGCTTCCTCTGCATCGTCATCTGTTTGCTCCTGCAGATAAGGGCAGATTGGAATCGTCCTTAATCTGAAAAATCCACATTGGTGTGGTCGGCAGGCTGGACAGTGTCAGTGTCACTTCAGTAATAACACACACACACAGCAGCTGCTCTTACATGACGAGCAGCATTCCGTTTCTACTGTATAAACACTTTTAGATACGATTCAAATAACAAAATGCTGTAAAAAAAAAAAAAAAAAATTATAGAAAAATGTCCCACTATAATAATAATCTGACATAAATCTGATAATTAATACACTGGTGCCTGATACAAGCCTTGTTTTATCTTACACGCACACGTACACACACATACGCACACATAGGCACACACACACACACATGCGCACACTTTTACAATCCTTAATACACTGGAGGCTGAGACAACAAGTCTTCTTTAATCTTAAAAATGCTGCAATTGCCAACAATGTAAACAACCAAAATAGCATAACAATAGCTAGACTTTCATTGTCATTATGTTTTGTCCCTGTCTCACAACTTTATGTTTGGCTTTTTCCTGTTGAAAATGTTGAACTAACGTCCGTTTTCCTTTTTGTTAATCAAGGATAACTGGGAGAGAATCTAAAACATAACAATGAATTGAATCTATCTTTTCAACGCCTCTTCCACGGTCATGCCTGTCACTCATCTCAGTGACGTTGAAGCTGGTCTTGGTCAGGACAACTTAAACATAACTGGTGCCTTTTGTGTAAAAAAAGGCTGAGAACTCCGGCCCAATTGCAGAATAGTTAGTGCTGCAATATTATTTTGTTTCTCGAAAAATCGCCCTGTGTATGACATTGTGTAATCGTCCAGCGTGCTCCTGCTTCACTATGGCCCTGTGCTCACTCAGACATTGCATTTACGCTTGTTTAACCTCCATCTGCCCACTATGAAAAAAACAAAACACTTTTATATAGCGCTTTTTTGGAGACTGAAAGACACTTCACATGTCATTATTCTGTCACCCATGAACTACGACTGTGGCCACTGATGCCCTGGGGCACACTGACAGAAGCGAGGCAACCAGAGTGTGCCATTGGCTCATCGGGCTGCAGCTGCCCCACTGTGGCACCTGGTGTTCCCAGGGGTCCCCCATCATAGTACAACCCAGGCTCTGCCCTGTCTAGTTTCAGAGGTCTGACAGGATCTGGCTTGAATTGTACAGCAATATCATGGCCATAACTTATCTAAGGGAAGTTACAGTAGTTGTTTCTTCTTTTCCGCATTTAAAATATCTGTGTGTCATTTTAAGACATTTCATGTAGATGTGTTTTTTTGTTTTTATTCATGCCTTTCTTTATATTCGCTTTTAACTTTAACTGGTTTGCACCAAGAGCAAAAGCAATTTCCTAATGACAATTAAAAAAGTTATGATTCTGATTTTCGGACTTATTTGAAATCTGCAAGACGACTGCATTCTACAACATGTGTTCTGTATTCTTTATGTGTTTTAACTGTTGATTCTCTGATCTGTGTTGATGATTTCAATGGTTTTTTTTAAGTCCTCTGAGATGACTTTTGTTCTGATTTAGGGCTTTACAAGAATAAATTGTATTGTATTGTATTGCATGCATAAATCTCACACATTCAGTTTACAATCACTTACTGTAAATACCCTCTTCTTGTTTACCGTCTTGTTCCTTTTCTTTATTCCCATTTTGCCCATCACTCAGCACAGTTATAGGCATAAATATTGTGGAAAATAATGACATTCTTCCATATGACTCATGTGTGCATCCAGAAGCATCACAGCACAGTTTACCTTAAAGCATGCGTCTTGTTCCTCTGCAGAGGTTCAATCAGGTGTGACTCATGCTGAATAAAGGCTCAGGGGACAAATGGAATTCACAGCGAGCCTTCACACTGACAACTTGTCATCTCTCTCTCTTATAATTGTCTTTTTGTGTCTCTGCAGGTCCAGCGCAGATATGGCTTGAAAGTGTAGAGTTGCATTTATTTCCACCTGCCGTGTCTGAGTTGAGGTTTGTGGACGTGTAGAAGTGATTTTGATAGGATCCCACAAGCTGTCTTCATCTTAACAAAGGCAAAGGGTCTATTCTTACAGTTTCAGCTGCCGCGGATCGACTGGGCCATTTGGTGTCTGAGCACTTGGTTGTGTTTAATTGGTAAAGTTAATGGTGCGAGACTCCGATGGGATGATTCAACACGCTGTAAGACCGTGCCAAAAAGCTGTATTTCTCTTTTCATGCCGCAAGTTGGCACGGTTTTTCCCAATCAACAGGGGCAGGATAACAGCGGCATCTGCGACTTCTTCCGGAACAGTGTACCAGGTGTACAAGAGAAAGGAAGCCCCCCCCCCTTCCCTAATTACAGTCCTGGGAGCATATTTCTGTGTTTCAAGAGTAAGGAAAGAGAAATAAAAGTCAATTCAATGTATTCTTGTTTAGCCCTATATCACAACAGTAGTTATCTCGGAAGGACTTTACACGGTACGAATCCCAGTCGGAACAGGGTATTTCTGTGTGGAGTTTGCATGTTCTCCCTGTGCCTGCGTAGGTTTCCTCCTGGTGCTCCGGTTTCCCCTACCACTAAAAACACGCTTTGATGCGCCAGTGTGTTCGGTGACTCGCTTCCGTCATCACCGTGTGTGGAATGATTGGAACCATATCTGAACTCTGAACATTGTAAAGCGCTTTGGGTTACCTCGGTCTGTAAAGTATAAATCCTCTATAAATAAACATTACTTACTTACTTACTAACTTACACAGCCGTTGAATTCGCCAACACGGAACAGAGAATAAAACAGTTCAAACACAACATACAAAACAGAAAACAGGTAGGTATTGGTCCATAAGGGGCAGATGACCAATGTCCATAAGTCTTGATAAATGTCCATAAATGCTACGGCAAGGAAAAACTCTAATCCTAGTGGGAAAGGGAGGAAGCTTGGGGAGGTCCACATTGACGAACGGGGTATAGATCCAGGACGCCACTAGCCCAAGTGGACCACATTATAAGTATGATGCAAGCAAGTCAGTCCCTTATACCTGACCTTTAAGATATCACAATGGATTGGCTTGTGAAGTGAAAAAAAGGTGTTTTAATGTATTAATCTTACTGTAAAGTTATTGTAGTGTATAAGTATAGACATTTCTCCCCACATAATTTTAACATCAGAGACAAAGTCAGCAATGTTTACTGTATGCCAAAGCGTCACTGAAAGACTTTAAGAGCACTCCGAGATCTGAGTGGAGATTCATTTTTTTCTCTTTTTTTTTTTTTTTTTGTTTTTTTTGTGGTTTTTTGTTTTTTGTTGTTGGTGTTTCTTGGGATAGTTTGATATTGTCTTAGAAGGAATAACAGTATTAAACTTTTATTAATATAGCACATTTCATACTGAAAACCGACATCAGCTCTAGTTCTGTTTCTAACACCAAGACTCTCTGAATTCTGAAACTACTGGAAGTCCCAGAGCTGTGGTTTTGACTACTCGATGTTTTTAAGTAATTCATACATCTTTTGACTTTACACACTTTAACTCAGTGCTAAAACTGGTGAATTTAAAAAGAGTTTGTTGAAAGGCTAAATGCAAAGTGCTGAAAGTAAAAGTGTGTTGGTATGCAACTAGCACCCTAGTTTGGTGTATTTCTGTTAGTCATTATGGCCGGCATTTTGACTTGAGGGTAGCATAAGGGTTAAGGACATTTATGGACATTTATCAACATTTGAA